CCGCAACTTTCCTAGGTCCATTGTCAAATCTCCTCGATCCCCATCGAGCCAATTTCAAGTCCCAAGACTTCCAAAGAAAATTATGAAGACAGAAAAATTAAATTTTTTCTTACCTAGAAACAACGAGAAGACAAAGCACGCAACGAAAGACGATCTTTTACACGGGCAAGACGAAGAAGATTGTTAGAGGAGGGGGAACAAATATCCTCTAAGCTCTCTTTCTCTCTTGTAAGGTTGAATAAGTTTCTCTCTAAAAGTTGATTTAATAATCCACTTAAGGTGGACTTAAATAAGCTTTGAGGATATTTATTTTCCTTTTCCTAGAAGAATTAAATTTCCTATTAAAAGAGAGCGAATCAACAACAAAATAGGAAGCAATTCAAAGTTTCCTAAAGCGAGAAAATCTCTACACCTGTTTGTCCCTTACTTTCTGCGCACTATAACAGGTGTGTGGAGGGGGGCATGGGTTGTGGGAGCCGGGGAGACAATTCCCAGGCGGGTGAAGACTACCGACACGGGAGCATTGGACATTGGACACAAGAGCCGCACACACCCAACATGCGCCCCCCGCTCTCCCCGCGCCCCCGAACGCCCCCGCATTACCAGGATTCCAGCGCCGCGACAGCGGCCTCATCAATATCTTTTCATCAAGTCAAAATCCTCAATAGGTAGCACTATGAAAGATGGGCGGTCTTGGTGCTCAGGATCCGTTTCTATAGGAGGTTTTCCGTGGGCGGGGGAGGAGACCGGGGGGGGGGGTGAAGGCGGGGGGGGTGGATTGATATAACCTATTTCATAATTTAGTTAGCTAATCAATTTAGCTAAATATAACAAATTTACTACATAAACTCGCGGCTAAAAATCAACATCCTTAATAGTCAATCCAACACTACTCCACCCAAGCCTCCAAAGAAATGGAACCTACTGGGGCAGGAGTTACTAGACAACTCTTCAAATTACGCTGTTTAATTTTATATCCCTATCTGCCTTGAGGGATGAATTTTTAAAATCACTCAAAAATTGTTTATTCCATGGCGTACGGTCTGTAGTTAATACAACACTTGCAGTATACAATTAGTATGCGAACGTTATTTTCTCGTCTTTTTCTTTTTCGAACAACGGTGTTTGTTTTAGACACTCGGTTGTAGCCATTGTTAAACTGAGCAAGTGCTGAATACTTTCTTTTCTGAAAAAACCACCATTCACGGTATCCTCTTCCCTTGTGTGCACATGCTTCAATTTTCTTTGAGTTCCTTTCGTTAAAAATACTAGTTTGCTACGGTGTGTACCATGTACCGGATGAATCGAGGCTTAAGGCGACGCCAATGGCCTAACAAAATAAGGATCCAATTGGTCTCGATGGCCGAAACAAGTTATGCTACCAAAACGTGCAAATCTGGATTGTAAACATGCAGAAACAAGCTTGTATGCATTGGGTGTAAACAGAACTACTCCTACACATTACATTAACCGAAACAAGCCCAGAACCAGTTAGGATCTTCAATATATAGTAGCGCGTGCAAACAATAAGTGAACATAGGAAAATCCCAGTCGGAACTTTCGATATAATTCTTCAACGCTCTTTGTTGCAGTTGCAGACAACTTGGCAAAACCTCTTTCCAGACATCTTACACAGGTGAGTTAAAGGATGAACCTCGAACGGGAAGAGAACCCTTCACATTACTAGTTTGGCTTCGATATTGTGCTTTCAACGCATTTCAAACAGGCAAAATTAACATTTTGTACAGCATAGCCTTCATTCAGGGCCTTTGGGTTTTGAACTTAGGCTGACTTTTGGGGTCTTCCCTGCTGTTGCAACGCTTCATGTAAGAGTCGAGTGTTTTCTGCTTTGATGGACTGCTTCCCGGTTGGCTGAATGCAAGTTTTTGCTTTGCAGGGCTGCTTCGCGGCTGGCTTGCAGGGGTGATTCGGGTCTGGCTGGCTGCAACTTCCATAGTATTCTCCTGGCCATCGAGCATCTGATTGTCCAAAAACCAGAGTTCATTCTACTGTTAAAACAAAAAAGGTTTTTTTTCCCCCTTTTTCCCCTAAGAAGGAATGCTAAGGGGATTGAACTTTACCTGTCCCAGATTTTCCAACTTGCTCTGAACAACATCCCTAAAGATAGAGAGAAAGTGTTGGAAGTACAAAAATCATCAAACTAATTAGAAAGTAGACAACTGCGTAAAATCATACCATATGATGTCATCAACTGTATCGTTTGCCAGAAGGTAATATATATTGACCGAAGCCACCTAAAAACATGAACAGAAAGTTAGAAACATATCAAGGAATGAAGGAATGCATCAATTTTTGCTGGTTGTGTATAAACAAATATTAGAGTAGCTTATAATTAATGCAAAGAATGCTTCAGAATCATGAACTTTTACCTGGCCTATTCTATGAGCACGATCTTCAGCTTGAATTAGGTCGCCAGGAGTCCATGACAATTCTGCAAAAATAACAGTGCTTGCAGCTGTCAAAGTTAATCCAACGCCTCCAGCTTTAATAGATAGCTGCACGATGACATTCAAAGGTTGAATATTAGACTTAAATCACAGAACAACACCTGAGATGTAGCACTCAAAATTTTCAGTTTTTCGTTTTTTTGACAATTCCAATTACACAGAACTCAATTAGGTTGGTTACACAGAAAACAAAGTATATAAAAGAAGCATACTGCCATACCACTGCTGCCTTGATAGAATCTTTTTCTTGAAATTCTGTAACATAAGCTTGCCTCGCAACAGTAGGGATACTTCCATCAATTCGAATGCAACCCACTTTCTTTTTCTGGAAATTGGCAGTTCTTATAAGAAAATTGGTCAATCTTAGAGGAAATTATGAATTCATGTGGCCTTACCAGAAGAAACTGATATATCGAATCAATCATGGACTGATGGTGTGCAAATACTAGAAACTTGCAGCCTGCCTGCAAGAACCATTGTATAACAACATTTTAAACTCTGAAAAGGAAAACGTGCAGACTAAACTAATGATAAGGAAACAAAATCACCTTAGAGAAATAGAACTAAAAGACAGAGAGAAGGATATAACATAGGGTGAGGTACCTCAATGACAGTTCCCAGGTAATCCAAAACTGCAGGGATCTTAGCCTCAGCAGAATCAGTATAAATCTGGAGCACAAATGAGGTGGTTAAAGGGTTCAAAGTTAGCTACTCAATTGTAAAAGAAAAACTACAAGAGGAAATGGTGTGACCATTTCAGCATCTTCAGTATAAGAAAGGAACTACGTTGGGCCCATGTGCACTACATTGCGTGCGTAATGCATGAATACCTTTATTAATAAGATTCTCTCAGTAAACTTAAGTGAATCAACCTCTTCTTTGGATTGGCAGGCCTTAATTTTCCCTTTTACCACTTCCAACTACAAAAAGGAGATAAACAGCAGCTATGCTCTATTATAATTTTCCTTACGCTTGAGAACAAAGTAAACTTTACACGGCACATTAATAATATGTTTTTGCACACGGTGCCACAGCCAAGAAATCATACAACTAATTAAAGATAGGGAAAAAGGAAATTAAAAGGGTTCATATAAGATAACAGCAAAACAGCACATGACTAGACTTCAGCTAGTTGGAACTCCAAGGGCAATAGCTACTTATTCTCAACTTATCAACTTCATTAAAAAGACTTAGATTACCTCCCGGAATAAAGCATTGATTTGTTTCATGTCCTTTTCAGCCAAATCCAAAAAGACCTGAGATCGGGCAGGGATGGAATGAAAGAAAGATAAAGATCACCGATTGTAACAGGACTACTAAGGCCATCCCACAGGTCAAAACACAGATTGGACAAAGCATGGACCTGTTGCCTACGCTTCACAGGAAGCTCAGAAAGAACATCATTTTTTAGTCTGCGAATCATCACTGTTGCCTTCATCAAATTATGCAATTCTTCATGGTTACATGCACCTTGATACAATCCAAACGTTCCTGAAATTCCAAACGAGTAAGGAACAGAATTGCTTATAACGTGACAGAACCATCTTCAAAATAAAGAAATAGTGACTTACTCCCCTTGCAATATCGATTACCATATTCGTGAACACTTTTGTATACATCAGGATACAAGGCTTCAAGCTGTTTAAATTCAAAGAAATTAATAAACAAATGATTAGATTCTAGATAAAGATAACTTGTAGTTGCAGCTTCTTAACTAGAGTTTAGAAATACCTGCTTAAATAGTTCAATCGGTCGGGACAAAGCAGGAGTACCACTCAACAATATTGCGTATTGAGCCCTCTGAAATTGTTGAAAACGTTAGAGAGGAGAGATTGAGATCAATATGTCTCAAAACTTTCATCAAGCAATTTTTCTTAGATTTTACTCCTTTTCTGTATACTTCTACAAGAAATAAGAATAAATAATCCCGGTTTACTTGATGACTTGCTGCAAACTTCAATTATAAGTGTTGAAACTGTTTCCAATATTTTCATCAACTTCATTCACTGAACCAGACATGAGTTCACTACTTTTACCATCAAGTGCATAGTTAGAGAAGAAATGACAAACATCAGTGTCACTAGTTAAGGTAGGAAGCATCACAAAAATACCTTATTGTTAGTACACCTCAAAATACATATATACAAATGGTCCCAATATGTCTCAAAACTTTCATCAAGCAATTTTCTTAGATTTTACTCCTTTCTGTATACTTCTACAAGAATAAGAATAAATAATCCCGGTTTACTTGATGACTTGCTGCAAACTTCAATTATAAGTGTTGAAAACTGTTTCCAATATTTTTCATCAACTTCATTCACTGAACCAGACATGAGTTCACTACTTTTACCATCAAGTGCATAGTTAGAGGAAGAAATGACAAACATCAGTGTCACTAGTTAAGGTAGGAAGCATCAAAAAATTTATTGTTAGTACAACTCAAAATACATATATACAAAATGGTCCCTCTGAGACAGGTGCTTAGAAGAATGGACTGAGAAAAAAAGTTAGGCAGTTGCAAGCTAGTCATCAGTAGATTCAGTACACAAGAGAGAAAGACCTTTATGACAGGAAAGGCAGGCACTTGTTTCTTTTTGCTTGAGCATTTTTTCAAAAGTGTGACTCATCTGCAATCACAACCTGAACAAAGAAGTTAAATAACATATCAAAAGAAGCAGCGTATGCAAGAAGCGGGAAACAGAGAAAAAAAAAAAACAACCGGCAGGATTTCCTAATGAACCATGTTGGACACTATTTGTCAATTTAAAAGAGGTCAAACTGTTTCTAAAAGAAAAATTTAGTATTACAGTTGGCAACATGAAAAACTAGAGGAAATGTTCAAAGAACAATGTTATTGTAGTATACAATCTGCATAATGAAAACTAGGTTAATATTTTCTTCCCTTCCCAAAAATTGGAAAACACATACCTTCTATCTTAGGTTTGTTAGAAATGTGAAGGACAGTTACTCAGAAAAAAAAAAGAGTATTAGTTTATTCATTCACATTCTACCATTTACAAGTAGCAAATGGTTCTATGCAGTCAAAGCAACTGGTGTACCACGAAATTACATTCTCATTCCAATGTACCACAAAGACTGTGTTTTAGGTAACATAGAGTTGGATGGTAAATAACAGCATCTCTAAAAAATTAAACGACCTATTAATTATGACCTTTGAAAATAATAAAGAATGAAGACACACAGAGTTCCGATTGTTCTGTCTCAATGTCTCCAGGCTTTAGAACTTTTCACACCAAATCATTTGCCACATATCTAATAGAAAATCATTATTTCTAATATCTAGGGCTTTAAAACATAGAGAAATGGTGGTGGATGAGGATATTCCGGCCACATACTCTGTATTCGACAGAGTGATGATCAAAAATATAATTGTGTTTTTTAGTAAAAGAAAAGTATAAGGGAACATACATTGATGTTTTATCCTATTTAAACTGATGCCAATAGTAGATTCTGTATTTAGGGGACACATCATAGGGGATGATTGTTACTAGGCCATTCAAGATGAATGGTCCATTTACGTGAGGATACAATTGTAAACCGCTTTTGTTTGACCACCACATGTGAGACAAAAAACAATCAAAGTGAAAAGAATTTACAAAACAAATATATTATAATAACTAAAAATGCATCAGAACTGACTCTGTTAAATTCAAATCTACTGAATATAAAAAAAGTGACAGATATTTAGACAAGAAATAGCGACATAACAGACAAGTTAACCTATTCTGATGAACGATGTCCATCCCAAGTCGAATCATCTGCTTAAGAAGAAATGAGTTACATTATTTCTTATGCAAATTAACTCTCCCTACTAACGAATTCAATACAGCACTTATGAGGCCAATTCGCCGAGGCATGAACGCAATTGGAGCACATTGTATTATAAAGAACAGGCCAAGAGTCGCCACGACACAAGATCAACAGCAATAGGCCAGAAAATTGTATTAGGTCCAATCTAAGGCAAAAGTTTTGGAAAATGGTTTTGCAGATTAATTTCCCAATCCCATGGAAGCATCTCTACTGTAATACGTTCTCGTTATTCCCATTCTCAGAAACACCCAATATGAAATATACCATTGTGTTTCTTTATACAACCTTATTGATCTGGAATTGGATCTTTAATGTATTAAATTCAACCTAATAGTTCTTCTGCTGCTAAAAATCTGCATCGACCCACGAAGCCATCCGACGGCACATCCCAATTTGCAATGGTTCCTCTGAACAACATAAGAGCATCCACCGATATTTCTCCTACTACTTTCTCTCCCTATCAATGTCTCACTCCACATCTATATATATTTTGCTTATAGATCTCAATCGCAGTTTACACTTGAACTTACTAAGCCATAAGTGTCTTACCTATAATGTCTTACTCTGTCCTCCAAAACTTCTTGGATTAAGTTTCTGACATTTGCAACACATATAACCATATTCACATTTGAAGAAGAATAGTGCATTTAGCCTAGATAAATCGACTCAATGAGAAGCCGCCCACCTTAATGTTGTCCTAATTTTGGCAATTTCTTACTGTATCTTACACGCTTTTAATTAATAAACCTACACAAATAGCGACCTGGTATGTCAAAGGATCAATGAACCCAGCCAAAGACTTGTATAAACAGTAGAAAGGTACTCAAATGCCACTAGGGCACCTAGGTTCTATGAAAGGACTCTTTAAATATGACTCAATGGTACAGGAAAAGAAGTCAAGACACATCGAAGAAATTCCTATACTTGCTCAAGTCTTTTGCACCATCCCATTTATCATACTGCGGGAGAGACGGGCTCCCCGCCGTCGCCTGCAATAAATTATTAAAACATTAGAAGAGAGAGATATTAATTGAGTGAAAAATTGATCACACATTAAAAGGCAAAATTCCAATATTCATGGGTGTGAACAAAATGAGAGTATATATCCGTCAACACTATCAGGACCACCAGAAAGAAAATGTAAATAATATCACACACAGTCTTGCATATAACACTCCTACAAATGAGAGGAAGAGTATCCTATGCAGATTTAAATATACCTAACACCTACTCGCTGAAATCATGGCCACACAAAGAGCTATTCAGCGATTCAATACAACTAGCGTATGCTATTGATTCTCAATTATTGTTGGGCTGGACATGAAGACACTAAATATAACACATAGAAACCAACATAAAAAAATAACACTGCTAAAAGTTTAGAAGAAAAATATGAAAGATGTTGTAGAAATTTAGAAGACCTGTCACTACTAAACACAATTCTGAACTGGAAAAAATACCTATAATATGAGCACCAATATTACCTTCACGGAGCTTACATTCTAAAACATAGAAGACATACTTGTAGCCTATTTTCTGTTAATCTCTTTTTTCACCAATTTGGCTATGTTATGCAAAGATTTTTATCACTTCATAATATGTAAAAAACCCACACGAAAAAACTGACTTGGCAAAAGAAAGGACAACTCATACCAACAATATCACATTATGCATCCAAACTGAAACTGATACTAAATAACCTAGCGTATACCTTTACCTCGAGGTCGGAACAACAGATGGCCAAGTCAGCAATAGCACGGTGGACAAGGAGAGAGTACTTCTTAGTGTAACAGATTTTTTAACAATGTATCAAATTGATGAACAAAGTTGGAAAAGCCAATACAACATTTTGGTGAACATTCAAACACAAACGCTAAAGAATTGTGATATGTCAAATAATCAAAGAGGTGCCAATTTAAAACGTAAACCACTAAATGTATCATAAGACGACCAGTGCGAAGTAAACAATCTAGAAAGGGCAACAGTTATTACCTCACATAACACTAGATGTCTCATAAGAACTTTCTCTGCAGAATGACTAAAGAAGGTTAGGAAACATCCATAACCTGCAGTTTCAAGCACTATTAAGTCTGCCTGGGGCTTCATCCCACAAATGTCCACGTTTCTCAAAAGGTCCATACAAAGAATATGAAGAGAAACAATAATGCATTTTCCAAGTGGCTTGGGTGGAAGGTGACAATCAGTAGGGATAAACACGATTCTACTTTTGCAATACCAGTGGCGTATTGAGTGGGATATGTTTGGATCGAACTTAGACCGTACTGATCATAGGTAAACGCTTTGGTGACCAAACATGGAATAATAATGGTGATACGTAAAACAGAGAGTTTAGAACAAGTGTCTGGTGCAATGTACATTCTTAAACATGCCAAAAAATGACACTTGGATCAAGAAGGAAAATTGATTTTGCAGCAATTATTTCCGCTGAGCATAAAATAAAATATGTAACCAGCGTGATTCTTCGGTTAATTCTTTTGTCGTTTCCCTAATTATTCTTGTGATAGAAAAGAGTAACAAGAGATAGAGATAGGTAGCCTAGAAGTTAGCCAGTAACCTAACTATAAGAATTCAGCAAGGTAGAAGAGAATGCATAACCAGGCCGAAATAAAATAGACATTGAAAAGGTTTCAAAGTGAAGAATGGAAAATTAATCCATTGGTGATCTTGTCAAGGTGGGGCATTTAATCCTTGATTCGTTTTCGATATTCAAAGTGAAGAACTATTAAAGTATAAAAGCATAAGTCCTTTTTAAGACCACTATCATGCTCGATAAAAGTAAGCATAGCGAGATGAAGCATGTCATAATATGGTTATACAATACAGCTACTTTTTCTTGGAAAGGTTATTTTTAACACTTAAACAGCAAAAAGAGAAATGTTTTCAGAGAACTTCGGAAGTAAAGTGTAAAGGATAATTGGTAAGGTGGTGGTCAAATTCGAGTTGAGTTTACATGGGCTGATGAGGTACACTAAATCTAAAGTATCTGTTCGAACAAAGGTGCTACCTGTGTCATTGGTTGCATATTCAAAACAAACATTTACACAGATAAAGGTTAAATTTTTAAATTTTATTCAAAAAAATCAAAGAAAAACATAGTTAATCAATTTCGATTATTCAAGAAAATAAGAGGAACACTTCAATTATTAGGATCACTAAATCCCTAGATACTCTTAAAATAAGACAATAGATGGGAAAATGACGATTTTATACACCTCTGTAGGTAAAAGAGTAATTTACGAGAAACGGGTTTGGGAGCAGGGAGAGAACTCACGGATAGCTTGCAGTTGTTGATGTCATTGTTCTGGCAAGAAAGACTGGTGCAGGACACTGGCGGTTTTGATTCGGTCACTGTAATAGGATTAATGATGAGGAGGATGGACGAAGAACAACTAAGTGGAAGCGGAGTTGACGCGTTGCTGAGCGAGTTTCTGGACGCGTCTCTTCGCAGAGAGTCGAATTCTTCGGCTGCGTCAATATCAAGGACCGTCGTCCTCAAGCCATTGTTGGAAGGAAACGTCAGAGAGTTGCAGAGTGCGGAGTTCACAAGACTCCCAGTGAGTACCGACTCTCGCATATTGCACGAGTATTTGAATTTTGGTTTTAGATTTTTATTTTTTCCCCTTTTTGCACTATAACATCTCCAACCTCCAAAATGAAAGGAAGTACGTGAAAAAATCCTGCCGCCGTTACACCGTGAATTTGGCGCTCTAAACTCTTACTTTATGATCTTTATGTAAACCCGCCTAATCATTCAGCCTTTGGGCTTCCTATCTACGGCCATCATCAGGAATGGCCGCACTCAAGGACACAAACTATTTTTACATTCTATTAGAAAATTATTTTTATTAATCAGTCAAAGATTGTCATATGGAGAAAAGGAAAAAGATAGCACACGAGCAATAAACTAAATAACAAAGACGGAAAAAAGCGTATAAAAGAGTGAAGAGAAATAGCACATGAACAACTTCTCAAGTTGAACATCAATATTCAAGTCAGGTAGTTCTCAAACCTACGTTCATGTGATTTCTTAATCCTAGAGCTCAATTATAAGGGAAAATCCAAGCCGGGGCGATGAAAAAACTCATATTGGTAACTATGGAGAAATGGTTTTCTTCGTAGTGACCTTAACTTATGTGTTTTGCTATCCTTTAAAAAGTGACTTGTGTAATATTCGTATGTCGAGAGGGATATAACATGACAAACGAAGTTGCACAACTTGAGATGATTTATTAAATAGATAATCGATCTCAAAATTACTCCAGATCTCTTCACGCAGGGCTTGAGACGAGGTGGGTGATAGGAATATATTATCAAATCCGCAAAAGGTAAACATGCAACATAGTCACCCAAGCGAAAAACTTAAGAAATGAATAGTGAACGTGTCTATGATTATTCGGCTAAAGAGAGGTGGAAGAATTAATACCGTTTCACTTGACTAGTCTTGATTGGGAATTGGTCATACCTAAAAAAGCTCGTGTTTCTAGAGATTAATTAGCATCCTAGAAGTGAGGTTGTTGGTCGCTGACAATATGATTCCAAATTTAATTATTGAGGGGTAATTCGTGCTGGTAAAATCAATTTCACTGTTAGAGTAAAAACACTTGGAGTTTTTCATCATTTGCTTCCTAATTGCATAATATAGTTTAATCTGTCAATCTTTCAGAAGTAAGCTAACTTCGAAGTAAATAGTACTGAGGTGAAACACATATAAGCTTGTGGGCGCATAAAAAGCTCAAAAGCCCCATTGGTGACATTCATTTAGAAAAATGATGTAATAACTCGTCCTTAATTTTACAGAATGCGAAACGTTAAGGGTATTTCAATAATTTTACGTTCGCAGGATATTTTCCTATTTTGTCTATTTTGGCCTTGTTATATGAGCCACCAGGGCCCACATATGTTTCATTGTTCCCCAGTTCCCTCTCTTCCCGTCACTCATTTTCTTTCTTCACTCTCTTTCCCTTTCTCTCTCCCTTATCTCTCTGCACTCTCTCTTATTCTCTGAGCACACACACACATCCACACACTCTCTCATACAATCACAACAACAGCAACAAACACCACCATCACCTCCCTTGCACTTTGGCGACCCATGAACCCAGAAACGGCAAAGGGACTCTTCCATAGCTTTTTTACGAAGGATCCGACGGCTTCTGAGCCATTTTTTAGTCAATCCATGGTGAGTTAGCCATCAAGAAAGGTACCATTCTCTTCGTTTCGTAGAGAGGTATGATTTTCATTTTTGAATCACTCGATTTTGTTAAGCATTGAAGAAGTTATATCAATTTGAACTTTCCCTAGTTTTTTTATGAGAACCATGACTTTTGCAGGCATTTACCAGCCAACTCCGACCATTTTTTGGCTTCTAAATAGGTATAATCTTGTTTTACTCTTCTCTAGCTTCGTTTTGATATATTATGGGTCGAATTTGGATGAGAAATGAGAGAGATATGGCTATTTGAAAAAATTTCCGAAAAATCAGGCAAGTTTACCCAGATTTCGGCTACCAGCAACTGAATATTCCTTGTGTTGGCTTTTACAAAATTTTCTAGGGAATCCTTCTAGACTAATTTTGATGCCCCTAGTCCATTTTTAGTATCCATTTAGTGAAATTATGAAGTTTTAACGTAGTTGACTGCCTTGGCGACTCGGTTGACTTTTTCGTTGACTTTTTATGAAATTTGCCTGAGACCCCTCTTTGGGGTATTTCGATGCCCTGATTCCAAATCCACACTCAATTTTCCCAAACATTTATGATTTATCAAACTTATGTTTTATGAAATGTTTCTGATTTATTGAATTTACATCTTACAAAGATTTATGAGCTATTGCTTTTACGCCTTTCGAGATGGATCAATGAATATGGTTTATGAGATGATGCTTTGAGCTTTTGAACTCCGATGATTTGATACGAGAATGTGATTTATGTTTTCTATGCTTATTAATGGGTAATCATACCACACATACACACAACACGAGTATGTATATGTCTACGGCCATAAGACACAGTATATGAGTAGTGAGATATTTATGACATATTCCCAGCTTCACTGGTGAAACCAGTGTCGAACAGCTTCACTAGCCACGGCTAGTGTCAATGTGTTATGTTACATTTCCTTTGGCATAACCCAGAGTCGTACAATTTCACCTTCGGCGATGGGACCTACCATATTTCTTCACTGGCGTAACCCAGTGTCGTACAACTTTACCCTCGAGTGATGGATGTGCCTTCAGGCAACTATGATACCCCTGGTTAAGTACATTATTTTAAGGTTATGAGTTTTTGTTCTTACCATTGCTTATGATCAATGGTCCATATAAATACCATTTTCATATAACCAAAATTTACCACAACTTCATTTTCTATACTCAATTCTCTCATTTCATACAATTTAATTTGTTCTTTTTGTTGATTTATTTTATCCATCAATGGTGGGTTCAAGGAAGGCTCCAACCAAGGGTGGAAATTACTCAGTTGAAGCAATGTTGCTCTATGTTATGATTTTAAAGCAATTAGTGAATATCCTATTATTAGAAATGGCCAAGCTTTGATGAAATTTTGGGAACGCATTTTTGAGGCATTCAACAAAATCATGGCTGACATAGGAGAAAAATGAGGTGCTAAAAGTCTTAGATCTCAATGGTATAATACAAACAACTCAAAATTTACCAAATTTAGTGAGCGTGTCACAAGAAAGTGGGACAAGTGATTTCGATAATGTAACAACCCGTCCCAAATTTTAAGTTTTATAAATTTTAAAATAGTGATTTTTCGAAAATGCCCTTAGAGGCAAATATTTTGACTTTCGTTGACCATCGGTTAAAGAGACGTATGACTCATTATTTTAGCATATCCTCGTAATACTTGTCACTATGAGCACATAGGCAAAAGCCGTTTGCGAATCCGGGTTTTAACGGTATAGTTACGGACATTTGAAGTTGTTTTATTAAATTTTAGATTAGAAATGAATTAAACTCCCACCTTGTGAGAAAGAGGCCAATCAGATTATTGGTTAAGTGACCAATCAGATAAAAGAGTGGTGGACTAATCAGAATTTGAGAAAAGAGGGCAACAACTAATAAAAAAGGGAAAGCCCAACCTTCCTGTCGCATGTGCACCCGTGCACCAACCCGACTCCATTCTAGCTATTTTCGCCATTCTTTCCGTCGAATCATCACCATCCATCACCTACAACCTCTTCCTCAACCTTCCCTCTACCATCTCTACCCAAATTCAAAGGTTTTAGGTCCAAAATCGTGTAGAACCTCATCGGAGCACCGGAGGTGCTCGACGGTGATTCCTTCGATCCGGCGAGTTTCACCACCTACCACTACCCTTAATCAACTCCCCTTAGACCCAGGAACAAGACCTAACCGGTGATAGGGGCGTTGGAACACCGGAGAAGTCGAATCGACGAACACCCATTATGGGGTTTCCAACGGGTTTGTTGCGATTTGAGGTTTTTTCCGCCAAATTGGACTTGGCCACATGTATAAAACTTGCTATACTCATTGAAATCTTCATTTCTGTGAAGTTTGATACTTTTTAGAAATAGTTGATTTTTCGGCAAGTCAGGGCGGTCGATCGCCGTGTGTGGCGGCGGGTGGGCCGAGGCACCCCCCGACCTTCCTAGGCTTAGTTTGATACCCCAATTCCATAGGTGAAGTCCAATTGATGAAATCTTATCGTTTGAACATAGTTTTGATAGAGACCGTCACTTGATCCTTATATGAATCAATGATTCAACCATTGGATTGTCACCAAACTTTCATACGTTATAGTATGTAATATTTGAGGATATTAGAAACTTACAGATCGGGAATTCGACGTACAGATCTTCCCGAATTGGATTTGTAAGCTCATAAAATAAAACATTAACTGTCACTTGAATTTGCAATTAGCGGAGATTCAACCGTTGGATCATAATGAAACTTTAGAATGATGGTCTAGAAGCATAATATGGATCTTTGGAAGTTACGAATCAGAATTCTGAGGTGTGGATCTTCCGGATCGAGTTATGTAGGGTTGTGGACCCTGCCGTCGACCTTTGACCAACAATTGATTTTTGGTCAATGGGTTTCAATCATTTTAGAACGTCCTTGGGGATATGTTTTATGTAAGTTACATTCTATTGATAAGAATTATGAGACATGATTTGATAATTGTTCTAGGCGATGATCGTTCGTGACGCATTGATATTCGTGCTAGGGAGTTGTAATGCCGACTCCAGGTGAGTGGGTCTTTTCCTTTTTATAGTGTGTGGTGTGTGTATATATATATATATATGATTGGTAGTTTCCATTTATGCAATCGAAAAAGAATTCCTTACGTACGCCTGGATTTGACTAAAGTTTATAAGAGTCAGTGAAATGACGGAACTTATGAAATATGCTACATCCTACGGGATGCACATGTATGGTATGATTATTGATGTCATAATTATGTTTACGGCTATGAATGATAGTATGTTGATTAAAATTATTGAATGGTTATGGCATGCTTATATTTATATAGTATACTCATCATTGCTACACCTAGGTGTTAATGCTCAACCTAGGGCCAGGCTAGTCTTT